GACCCTTTCTTTGGGATAATGGAGTCTCATCAACTTCCCAGTCCATACAAAGTCATCCAGGTAATTAAAATGTCAGGGCTGAGGTATTCAAATTGGCCAAATTAGCAATGTCTCGTATATCACTCAGTAGTTACCCACAGCAAAAGTTAGGATCAGGGCTGAAAGATGTACCGTGTAACGTTTCCAGTAGAGGATGGTATTGCTGTTATGTACCAAAGTATAGCATTAAACCTATCTTAATTTCTTGCATTTAATCCATTAAAATGGTTTTGTTTGTTTATAAAATACCTTGGGAAAACATGCATTCTTACTGTGAGCACCGTTGCCTTTCCATAGATCTGACTCGTGGCTTAACCTGTTGGCGTCACCTGCACTAGAAATTCTGCTAGGCCTGCCACAATAACAAGCACGGGATATTGCTACAGAGAAATATTGTTATAAAGGATAATATTGAAACTACTTTATGCCACTGACACAATAACAATAAAGCAGGATAATCTAAACCTATTTATAAATATACTGCATCATTCAAAGGCCTGAGCTGCAACAAACAAACAGCAGAATTAAACAATAATAGCAATATAAGTGATTTATTTTACCCTCTACAGCTCAAACTTTATATTATTACATTAAAAGTGTCAAAAATTTCCACACTACTGCAAAGAAATTGTACACACTATAAATATCGAGCCCCGAAATATATTGTTCCAGCTTTCATGTATTGAACGTTAAATTGATATTGTAATTACGCTAACAGGACTAGCCACTACTGCTCCACATCTCTATGGACACAAGTCTTTGGCGACCCTACAGCAAAAATGTTACTTAGGATTAAAAAAAACTAGGACTCAGTTCACGGAGTACATTTGAAACTCAACCAAGACCATTAGAGAAGACTGAAAACATGACCTCATAAAGAGATATACAGAAGCTCTGTAAAACGTGTATTGAATCTGCATTATAACTTTGTGAGACATTTATAGGTTGTAAATGCAGTGGTAAACAACATCACTGGCTCATTATACTACTACATTATACTATACTTCTACATTATAATTTGAAGATACCACTTTCTTCTGAGCAAAACAGTGATAATAAACCTGCATAAAAAATAAAAAGCAGTTTCCTTTGATAACCAACCTTGACTACATTTTTATAACATCCTAAGTTATTAATACAGGGCTGTTGTATCATTAGTAAACTGATAATATAATACACAACAGTGAGGCATACTATTTTCTCTTCCTTCTCTATGGTGGATTTGTTTATTTCCTGTATTTTACAACAGTCCGTGAGATTTTGTGTAAAAGTGACACAGAGCAGTTAAAATGCCTCTTAACTGAACCCTAACACAAAGTTTATTGTTTAAATTTGCACAGAGGCAGCACATATAAAATGTTAGCAAACAGCAGTGGTCAACAGAAAGCTTCCTGCCTGTAATATAACTCCGGACTACATGCATTGCAGGTTCGAAGTGGAAAATTTCAAAACAAGTTAGATTTTGTGTTTCTATGATTTTTATTTAGAGCTTTTGGTCTATTTTGTTTTCCTTTCTTTACGTGTTATCGTGTATTATTTATGTTAAGCAGCACCTGGAGTTACAAGTTTGTTTTGGTCATGACAAGTCAAATTAACCACAACATTTTACAACAGACTCAAAAACATTAGTGTTAAATTACTTTATTAATAACATAAAGACTAGTACAAAACATTCTCATAGTTTTAGTAGCTACTTAATTCTTACCACACTTTATTTTATTCATAGTTTAGGGTGATAATTGTTTAATGCATTAATATTTAATCTAATTTGTATTTTTAGCCGAGTTTGATGATGGAGAACCTCAGCTCTGACCTGTCCAACGCTGCATCTGAGGCAGAAGGTACACTCATCTATGTTTTGTTTTGTTTTTTAACTATTTTTGATGTTTAATCTTATTAATCATGATCACAAACATCCCCATATAGTACAGCATTGTATCTTGCTCAAAGGCACAACGGCAGTATGCTCAGTCAAGTTTTGAAATAGCAACCCTCTTCAAACACTTGATCAATGATGCCCCTTTCATGAAGAGCTACATTTCAATAGCTCTATTTGCTTTGATATTGCTCAAGCTCTTTACCTTTACCTTAGTAGAAATATTGATAAAAATGGATCATAATGCATTAAAACCATACTGAATCATGCCTGTCTCCTCTTCTTACCCCCGTGTCCCTCAGGCTTCAGGTCCCCTCCGGCCTCCATCACGCTGAGGGAGAAGGAGCAGTTTGTCCTGGGCAGCGCTGAGGTACTGGATCCATCAGAGCCTCTCACACTAAACACATCCGTCATCATTTCACTTCCTCCACAGACGCCGTAAATCACAGTCAACTGTGTGACCACCGCTCTCCTGTTACAAGAGAAATCTCCTGCTGTCAGTGTCTAAACTGGGCTACGTGGTTGTTAAAGTTGCACTATGTCACTTTCTGGTGGGGGGCCTCCAGATATTATCTCTTTAAATAACACGCACAGATTTAGTTTAATGTCATACTGTGGAACATTCCAGGCAAAGCAACAACAGGCGAGCTATTCTGATTTCCTGTTTCAACAATTACACATTATAATAATAAAAATTAAGCAAGACAAGACAAAAGAATAAGTCTAAGGACACTTAAAGTTGGTTGTTTGGCTACTTCTGCTGATCAAAATACAGTACTTTCGCTTATATACAAAATTATTTATAACTGAATTTGAGACAAAGATGCCTCAAAATCAAATCTTTTTCATGATTTTTTTGGAAGGCCTTGTGAGCTAAAGACCTAAAATAATAAATGTTTTGTCTCCTCCAGTACCAATATTTGAAGCACATTACTCCCAATCATGAGTTTAAAATTATTCTAACACATTGCATAGAGTTTCGAAGGGAGAATGAAACAGCAGATGTCTCCTCGGTGTCCCCACATCACCTTTGTGTCTTTGCCCATTATAACATCATAGAGACTGATTGTTTCGGTCATGGTGCGGGTGCGCGTCAATGCAGCAGCTTAGCTTAGCGTGGTTAGCTTAGCGTGCAGCACACTCATTCTGTCACTCCTCCTCCAGTGTGAGGGCTGTCTGGGCTAGATAACATCTGACTTAATCACATCAACTTGTTTTCACTCAAGATCTAGAAGGAAGTATTTTTTTATGAATGTTCTTTATCTGTTACTTTTGCTTTTGCTTCTTTAAGGAAATATCAGTCTTAAAGTGTGTATAATAGGTTTTGGTGATTATCTGATTTCAACATGATTTGGTGGGATAATACTTGGTGTAGTGACTATTTGTCAAATAAAAGTAACAAACAAAAGTGTGAGCAAACTTAGAACTAAACATAACTCAAATAATCACCTTTGGGCACCATGGGTATGTGGTTTACGCAGTACAAATCAATGTCCATGACTAGAGATGATTTTCCAAGATTTATTTTCCAGTTTTTTGGCAAGCAACAAGGAATACATGTTTAAAGCCTACTCCTGCTGCCTCTCCTCGTGACTGGTAAAAAAACCATAGGCTCACCCAGGTGCACTCTGGTCTATGTGTACCACCCTCCTTTATCCCCTAGGTGACCCAAATTAAACCAAAAACAAAAAAGAGGTGCTAATGTAAATAATACCAACTTAGAATAAAAAATTTGCAAGAATAATATTAACATAGCAAAAATATATTATGCAAATTAACAAAACTAAATTAGTGAACTAACTAAACAAACGAAAATAATAAACACATTTTAGAATCAACAAAATAAGCAAATAGCTCCTACACTTGGTGTACATATAAATTATAGTTTTACTCCAACCAAGAAGCAATTTCTGAAGAAAAAAATTACAGGAAGTCGAAAGTTGTATTTTAGAGAGTTAATAATGACACCAAACTTGGGAATTCT